ACTGTGAAGAAATAAATTTCTCTTTGTTAAAGCCATTCACTTGTAGTATTTCTGTTATAGCAGCACTGGATGACTAAGACAGCTCCAGAAAGTCTGGATTCCATGAGAATTTGAAATTCTCACCCGCATTTTTCCCCCTGGCTATTTTGTTAAAGTACCTCAGTGATGACCAAGAAATGGCTGCCAGAGCATCATGACATTATCGTTCATAAATGAGTCTTAATGTTAACTCTTTTATATGTGTTTGCATATTGTAGAAAATAAATTTTCCTGATCAGAAATTCGAGGTAGGGAGAAGAAACTGAACGTTAGAGAATTTCACATTCCTTTAAATTACTAGAAATCAGTGTAATTTTGCTGTATCTCTCAATGCCACTATTACTCTCTAGTAAGTAGATGGTAGGGTTTGAGGTGTTTAATTTTTTTTCCTATTTTGATTATATAACAGACGTGTATTTGTATTAAAATAGAAAATAGGCATTTGGAGGACATTAACTAGGGGTGAAAGTTACTATGAAGTGTTATCCTAATTTGAATAAAGTTATCTTTATGATTGAATAGACTTGACAGCAACTAACAACAGTATCTTTATGATTTGTAGGTCTTGTTAACTTGAGGCACTCCACGACTCCATTTTTAAAAGTGGAGCCTTTTCTTCCGGGACACTACGAAGTTTTGGATTTAAAGCCCAATGGCAAAGTTGCATCTGTGGAAATGGTCAAATATCATCACTGTAGAGATGAACCTCTGCATGCCCTCTATGACAATGTGGAGAAACTATTCCCAGGTAACACAACAAATACCCACCCGCCCATTTCCCTCCCCTATTCCCCAGTGAGGGAAAATTTTCTTCTCACATCATCTGAGTGATTTAAGTTTGAAGACCTACTTCCTATTTAATTTGGAGATGACAAATTGGGATTTGGCGATTCACTGTTGAGTGAGCACCATTGTTGAGCAAATGCCATCATGATAGATGAAGAAGATTGTGTACCTCGTTTCAATAAATAAATCAGCCCAAGTTTGTCTGGGTCTGTTTCATTTACTTTATGTGTTTATAGGTTTTGAGTTAGAAACTGTCAAGAGCAACCTCCGGATCCTTTTTAACAATGCTGTTAAGAAACGTTTGATGACAGACAGAAGGATTGGCTGCCTTTTATCAGGTGAAGTCAGAATTTAAAACCTTACTATATTTAGTGGGTTTGTTTAAATTAAATGATTTGTGACTACCCCTGAGGTTTTGACTAGTAATCTTTCCTTCATATAAGATGAAAAAGCTCGTTTTCTGTTGTTGTTAGGTGCTGTTGAGTCGGTTCTGACTCATGGCCACCCCGTGTACAATACAATGAAACACTGCCTGGTCCTGCGCCATCCTCACAATTGTTTGAGCCCATTGTTGCAGTCACTGTGTCAGTCCGTCTCATTGAGGGCCTTCCTCTTTTTCATTACACTCTACCAAGCATGATGTCCTTTTCTAGGGACTGGCCCCTCCTGATAACATGTCCAAAGTACATGAGA